GGTGGTGGGGTGTCGTGACTTTGGCAAGCTCACCTCGTCTCATCATCACCACTGGCTTACTTGTACAAGCGTACGTAAGTGTAGGTACGCAAGAAGTATTGAACGCACTTCGTCAAGCCTGAGATGAAACTCGAACCTTCAAAATGAAATCATTGAATGTTGTCAACTCAACTGTACAGCACTGTTAGACAGTCATTTTGGCTCAGATAGACCACCTGCTCGCACCCCGACATTCATCAATTCTCATCTCGCCGCACCATAGGATCGAACCTGAAGTTGATAGCTTCGAAAGGACATGCGTTTTCCTTGTTTATACCTGCTCTAATTCTCCCAAAGTCTCCCAGACGTAAAAGGACACGGTGCTTGGAAAGCACGCCCACCACAGGACGAAGGCTGTCTTTACCTTCGTTCCAGATCAATGGCCGTTGACTACCAGAGACCAGCACGACCTCTTCTAAGACCAATGAGTCTTCGTCGTCGTCACGAGTCACTTGTTGTCAGGCACCTTGTGCTCTTGCCTTACCCAGCGGACCCCCTCCTCCTAAGCAAGCTCAACTCGAGACTTGTGGAAATGGTTCCGGTTTATTTTCTTACGTCGACAAAAGTCGTTCCAGTAGGTGTCGATCAATACTTCTCATAAGTGTGATCTTGTCGCTTGCCAACTACGGGAACAAAAATGCCGAGGCTGCAGGTATTATGACCGGGATCGGACAACGACGTAGAAACAACGCAGGTAACACGGGATGACGGAACAGCCGGCAGCTTGAACGCACCCCGGATTTCGTTTTGTCGCACAAGAATGCCGTTACACTGAATATCAGGCTATAGTTCCTCAATTACGCAACTTATGCTAGTCGTATATGCGTGATGTATCGTTTCCAATCAACGCTGCGGATCACTACGATCTCACCGTTACTTGAGACACTTGACCGTTGGCCAGAGGAGCCTCGGTATAAGCCAAACTCGCCGTCCCATTTTGTTTTTGTTCACGTCTCCCCTGACGACCCTCCACTTCGACGTCGCCAATGAAGAGCGCGCTAACTCCCTCCAATGATGCCACAAAGAGGCACAGCACGTTTGCAATGACAAAGTGGCTAATGGTGGATCCGATCTCCAACCATGAGCCTTCGTCCTTGACGACCCAGAAAAAGTATAGGGTTAGTACGTCGCTGATGGCCATTACAGCCATGAATAGAGACGAGGGAGCAACACCCAGCCGGGCATTGAGGATTCCGAGGTTCGCCGAGATGAGGGCAAAAGGAATCATAAGCTTGAGAATGAGAAGTATCCCTTGCGAAAAAGGGTCAAATATCGGAATCAGACGGTACACGGCATCCAGACTGAAGGAGGAGACCGATGCTACGTTGCCTGTGCTGAAGAAAGCCGACTGTAGGAGGACGAAGAAGAACAAAGCCACTCGTGCGTCTGCCAAAGTAAGAGCTCTGAAGACCGGCTGTGGTACGCTCTGCGACTTGGCGGCGCTTCCGTTCAATGTGGGTTGCCGATGTTCACTGGCAACATCGCTGAAGACGAAGATGCGGTGTTCAAGACTAACCCATGCAACCAACAGAATGCTAAACGTCACGTAAAAAAGACCTTCGTAAGAGAGGGTGAGAATTACAAATGACGGAGCACAGGTCAGAAACAAGCTCATAAGACGATGCAAGTAGTGGTTATTAGGCTGCAACCTGTACGTGAGAGGCATGAGGAGGGATACAACTAGATAACTCGTCAGCGCATTGATAATAGGTGGCGGACAGACGTCTCACCCAACACAATCCATCCCACAATCTGGTTTCCTCGCGGAAGCCCGAGTTTTGCTTGAAGAGACAGAGCGCTGGACCGCGTGACTACGATTGCCAGGAGAATCAAGCCGACCTGGTTGTCTCTCGTGAGATTGAGATCAATACATAGTCGGAGAAATAAGCTTACTTGAATACCTGTCAGTGCCCTCGCGATTGGCAGCCCTTGGCCGACTACTTTGCCCGTAGACGACCTAGCAAGCAACACGTCCTCCCAGACAAGATATGCTAGACCTATGGAAGCCATGATGACTCCTCCTGCCACGCTGCCAACAAGTCAGTGGACGATGTTCATTCTCGGGCTGGATTTGAAAACATACATGAGAGAGACATCCTCCACCTTCATAGCCGGGAGCAACGTGAACGTGCTCATGGCAAGGCATGACATGAACCATGTGGCAGACAGAAACGCATTAGCCTGGAGGAAGTCCAAGCCCCATGTAACCGGCCACAACGAGCCGAGAATATAGATGACCGTGAGAATCTCCCGATGGATGTATCCTAGAGCCTGCCAGGCGTCAGTATTTTTCTAAATTAACTGGTGTGAAGCTCGCTTACCAACGAAACGATGACACCGATGTAAAGAGCACCATTCAGGAGAAAAGAAACAGCACTGGGGCCAGTCTGGATATGTCCAAACAGGACCTGACGGCCTTCTACGAGAGAGCCACGTCGGGCCCAGACCTCCTCCCAGAAAACAATGGGGAAGAAAGCGTACGCATAGTACGTAAGCGGTGAGTGAGATATAATGAAGGAAGCATAAAGAGCAGCAAGAAGTGAGCTGAACATCGTTGTGCTCAGCAATGTTCGTGAAGCAGGGCGATTGCCACGCAGAACATGAAGATCAATGACGATGGTCATCGCGAATGCCATCCAGCCCAAGTAGCCGATAGTGATGAGCGTGCGGAGAAAAAGCCAGTCATAAGTCTGCAGATATCTTAGACCTTCAAGTGCAATCTTCATGAGGGCAGCCGACTCCTCAATTGCCTCCTCGTGGTTTCCAGCTTCAATCAATCGACGTATGTCCGCCACTCGGCGCTGTGGACTAAGGCCTGCCTCACTCAAGGGGTGGAATGGCCTATAACGCAGCTCCGTGGCCTTCTTGCGCTCTTCCTTGACCCGGTACATCTCGAGGATCTCCTGGGCATTGACCAGAGCTGCTTCAGCCTTATCCTCGATGCTTGAGGAGACATAGGACAGTGGTATCTCGCCGACCGAATTGGCTGGGAACTCGACGCCAACAAGATAGGCCATCAAGGCAGCTACATCGGCCTGTGCGACATCGTGCCTCTTGACATGATCCAAATGCCAGTCAGAAGAATATTCGTCATGTCCGGGAGCTGTTGCGTTGGAAGCAAGCACCGGTGGGGCAATGCCTGAGCCCCATGTGATTAAGGGGGTACGCGTGTTGTTCGGATGGCCATCGCCATGGCTGCCCCAGTCACTCATGCCGTGGTCAGCTGTGAACACGAAGGCAGTGCGGTCGTCAGCGTAGAAACCATCTATCAATTCGGTGATTTCCTGAACGCCTTGGTCGACAACTTGGATGTTTCTCAAGTACTCCTTCGAATACGGCCGGTATGAGTGGCCGGAGGTATCCAAGCCGAGAAGATGGAGAAAGAACACAATCTTGTCCTGACGCAAGGCCGCGTTCAATGTTTCGTTTCTAGCAGCCTCGGCAAAGAAGTCCTTGACATGATCAAAGACCCAGTAGTCTAGCTCCAGCGCATCCGAGCTGAAGTCCTCGAACTCATGTCCGTAGGTATAAGAGTCGACGCGGCCAGGGACGGCTCCCGTCTCGAACATTGGGAGGATGTCGGGTGAGCCCCAGCTCCAGGTATGTCTGCTCCGGTTGAAAACGCTGTCAAAGTTGACTGGATTGAGCTTCCAGCCAGTCGCAACGGCGGAAACATCCTCGTACAGACCAGCGATGAGGGCGACATGGCCTGGACGAGATTCGGTCGGTACGCGAGTGTGTGATACACCGAAAGTGCCATGCTCGAGAACGCGGGATCGTAGGAACGGGGCCAGAGGCTTTGGCTCCAAGTCTTCCTCAGTCTTAGGGTAGGGGTCGGGGAACGACTGGAAGGCTTTGTCGGCTCGCAGACCGTCTCCTGCATTTCTTAGTCAGAGAAGTCGGGTCAAGCTAGACCTGGATTGAATGGGTGCATACCGACGAAGAGAACAAGACGATCAGCGGGGGGTTTGACACCGGCGGGACGTTCAATTGGAACGAGTTGCATGCCCGAAACGATTGGACTGACAAAGTAAATGTCGAAGATGGAGTAGATGTACACGACGTGGAAGACGAGCGCGATGGCAAGGAAGCCGGCGCGAGAAAAGACGGCCATGGTGAAGAAGGCGGCGGAACGGTGGAATCGGCTGAAGTCGTTCCCCTCGTCGTCAGCCCGTCTCTCAGCGAGCGATGGCACCTAGTATCAGGGGTTGATGATGACAATGGCGGATGCTTTCAGGTCTAGTCGAGTCAAAGAAGACAGTCGGGAAGTGTCACTTCACAGACCCGAAGACTGGAGGACGAGAGCTGCAAAGAGAGGGTGGGCGCATTCAACTCACGGCTTGCGCATGGCCCTTGCTTATGTTGCTGATGACGAGATGCGCAGCTGTGGGAGGGAAACGACTCGCCCAGGGGAGGGATACTGGAAACCGCAGTCAGTCCCACTCGTTGCATCTACGCGGAAATTATTGCTGGTCGCGACACGTCTGCAACCTCTCAGGTACAACCAATTTTGGAGTTGCGGCAAAGAGTGTACAAGGGTCCAAGACGCTGATGAGGGCTGAGACTGGTAGCTGTACGTGGCGTGTCGGTCAAATACCGGGCTTTCCATAGGGCATCACAAGTAGTGGTACCAAAGCCCATCCCTGCCCGTGCCGAGAACCCCACGAGCTGGCGCGGGACACGCCGGACCTGCGGCTAGGCAGCTTGGGTACAAGGATACGCAGTACATATCGCCTGAGCCGTTACTTAGCTACCTACTGTATCTATACCTCAAGGAAAGGTAAGCCACCTACCCAGCTACCTTACCTTAGTACCTGACTATAGTACATTACCGCCAGCACCCGAAGTACCTATCCAACGACGCCTTTACACGAATTGGTCCAGACATCAAGGTGCCATGCGGCTCTCTAGGAACGTCCTTGTCGGCGTTCTCCCATCGTTTCTCCCCTTCTCTTCCCAACATGAAGCAGACCCAGCCAAGTCTGCCTGGCAACCTAGGTAAGTGATCGAGCCTTCGACATTTGTGCTCCATGTGTAATTACCTCATGCATAGTAGGCGATGATGTGCATTTTGAGAGACCTAGCATTTCCACGACGCTTGCTACCTCCAATGGTTCAACGACGCAACTCGCATCTACCCAGGCAGTCGAGAATATCAAAAAAGTTCTTCAGGGGGTATCGACCAATTCCAAATGCATCTCGTCCTTGTTATCAACTCTGGGAAACCCGATAGAATCCTGCGCAAGACAGCTCTCTCCGTAGCCTCCATTGGTCTACTCCATCAATGACTTCGTCACTCTCGAGTAGAATTTTGCCGCGTGTGGTCGAGAAAATTCAATCTCCTCCACCAGGAAGTCAGGCAACAGGTCTATGAGGTCACGGTCGCGGTTCGAATCCAGCTGAGGTTTGTACGTAAAGTGCGCTTCCTCGTAATTATCGCCTGAACTCTCGGTCTCGACCTCGAGCTTGAAGTGAAGAGCTGGAGAGATGTTAGCTTCTAAGCGGAATCGCACAAGAGCTTCAAGTCTTGATGAGTACTCACTTCCATTTCTTCCTGTCTGTATGCAGTCGAAGACTTGGCCTGTCGAGTCACGCTTGACCACCCGCACAATCAATCCAGTTAGGTCACCATAGAGGTCCTCCTTCATTTGCGCTGTTTGCACCGCATCCGAACTAGCCGTAGCGATAGCCCGAGCCGCTGCGGTCCCGCCTTTGATTGCGCTTCCTGGTACCTTGGCAGTGGCCGCCGTGGCAGCGGCCTCTGCCGATCTGCTAGCCGCCAGTTTCGTTGACAGAGTCTTCACCTCTTGCCTCGCTTCAGAGAGAGACGCTGTCAACTCCGCGACTTTGGCCTCTAGCCCTTCGAGCTTCTTCCTATCTTGCTGTCCCTCCTTGACCAAAGCCCTTTGAGCCGCAAGATCCGCCTTCAAGTTGCCTATAAGTTCCGTTGCAGCTTGATGCCATCAGCAACGAGCTCCTTCGTAAATATTCTTTGAAACTTACTGTTCGCCCGTTCTTCGCTCTCCTTTTTCAAGTTATCAAAGTTGCGCTCAGCCGCCTTGATCCCGATGTCTCGCAAATCACGGTACTTCAGCTCCAGGCTTTCGTATTTCCTGTTCGCCTCGCCCAGTCGTCTCCGTATTTGCGGGTCTCCGCCGTCTGCGTCTGCATTGCTAGCCATCCGGGCAGCGTGCTGAATAGACTGTTTTGGCGCAGGCAGATCCTCAAACTGTTCATCTTCTTCTTCCTCTTCTTCTTCTGTATCAATATCCATAGCCTCTGCTGGCTGGGTTTCTGGGATTTCAGAGTCTTCGTTGCGAGTGGATTTGGTCCCTGCACGGCGCCCGCGCTTGATCGGTTGGGCAATGGATTCAGGCGCCTCTTCATTTTCGTCTTCTTTCACCAAGGCAGCTGTTGCCTTTGGTCGACCCCTTGTCTTCGCGGTGGCCTTCGTTGAGGGAACCACGTGTTCTTCCTCGGCGTCAGCTGTGGCATCATCGTCGTCCTTAGGCCTGGCCTTGCGCCCCCTCTTTGAAGCCTTCGAATTATCGACAACATCCCCAGCCTCAGCGGCAGCAGCGGCGGCCGTTAACTTATCATTGGGACGACGCGTAGCCTTCTGCGCTGGCTTCGTGACCTTGTTCGCCGCAGGTCTTCCGCGGGGTTTCTTCGCTGGCGCCATGGGTTTGGCCTTCAAAACTTCGTTCTTTTTGACCTGCTGTGCGCTCAAGCCAGAGAGCTCGTCCGAGTCCGAATCCACCAAGGCCAACAACCTAGCTTGTTGAGCAGCTCGCGACATCCGCACCGCGATTGAGTCTTGCTTTGCACGGTTTTGGTCGCTTGCCCGCGTAAGAAAAAGATAAACGGGTTCGGGGGCAATGGAGGCACTGGCGGCACAGGAATTGCTTATGATTGCGAAGCCGCAAGTATTTGGTGGAAGAAAAAAGGTCGTCGCATGCGTTGTGTAGAATAGATTGCGGAAATTCAGGCCTAGTCGCGAACAACCTAGCTGTAGGTAGCCAGCGCGGGGGGAAGGTCCTTCTGTTGGCTACCCACTCACCTGCTGCCGCTTTACATTTGTGTTTTGCGGGCATTGAAAAGTAAACAAACGGCCACTGGCGCGGTACCTTACCCGCCTTACGGGGTACCTAAGGTAAGGTAGGTAGGTAGGATAGGAAGAAAGACAAGGGCACTTGAGGCCTATCGATAAGCCTATCGGCACCCTCCTACCGAGTGCACGTAGGCACTTTCCCTCTGGGACTTGGGCACGCACCTTACCTACCTTACCTAGGTACCTACCTACCTTAGGTAAGGCGTGCTAAGCGTGCCGTGGCGGTGGACTGTCGTAGCGGCCCTGATGGGCGCTCCACAAACGTGTGCCGGCGTCTGGATTACCTTAGCCGGCATGTGGCTTGACTTTTTGCTCGAGGAACCGCGGCGTCTACTCGGCTGTCAGCGCCACGCTCTGCCAACGTCTTTGATTTAGATGCTCTCGGCTGAAATATCATCGACAGACAGACACGTTTACGCCCAGGGACTGTTCTAAGATTTTGACCTGAGCCCTGTCATACCGGCAGAACAAAAGCGGCAATTCAGTTCTGAAAGGATTGCATCTTTGAAAGGGTTCCATCGGCATTGAACAGCGTATACTCGACCGAATTGACTGCATCGCTTTGGTCGCGACGCCAACCCTCATGACGAGCGACCTGGATCGCTGGATTGGCTCCGTTGGAAAGCTCCTCGGCATGGGTGAGCGAAAGAGAGGTTTGGGCGATTTTGCCCTCGACTTGCTGTTGGTGGCTGGCATGGTAAGTCATGCTGCTGCTGGGCGACAGTTCAAAGAATACTGACGACGACGACGACCTCCAGATGGCAACAGGAGTGTACCTAGCCCGCAACTTTCTTTCGTCCCTTACGAGTACTCTTGCCGATCCCGATCGAGAAAAACATGAACAGGCGCGTCTGCAAGCCAAAGCTCACCTCGAGCGGTTACGCAAGGGAAAAACCATTGGGAAGTCGGGCGACGACACAGGGGACGACGGCAGCGTGTCTCGACGTGGTCCCAAGCCAGAGGACTTGGTGCTCAACGAGTATGAAAACCTGATAGCTTTGGAGATGGTGGCCCCCGAGGATATCTCGGTTGGCTTTTCTGGTTAGCAATCACCCTCTTACGGCCAAATATGCTTACAGACATACTGACCCTGCCACAGATATTGGTGGTCTGGAAGACATCATCGACGAGCTCAAAGAGTCTGTCATCTATCCCCTGACTATGCCTCATCTGTACTCTCATGCTGCACCGCTTCTATCTGCACCATCCGGAGTTCTCCTGTACGGCCCACCTGGTTGCGGCAAGACTATGCTCGCCAAGGCAGTTGCTCACGAGAGCAGTGCCTCATTCATCAACCTTCATATCTCGACAGTGACGGAAAAGTGGTATGGCGATTCAAACAAGTTGGTTCGAGCCGTGTTTTCTCTCGCGCGCAAGATGCAACCGGCCATCATTTTCATTGATGAGATTGATGCAGTTCTCGGCACTAGGAGGAGTGGCGAGCATGAAGCAAGCGGGATGGTGAAGGCAGAGTAAGTGGACGATGTCGACAGCTTCTACTGTCCCAGATGACTGACGGTTATCAGATTCATGACTTTGTGGGACGGTTTGACGTCCTCTAACTCTTCAGGCATGCCGGCGCGAATCGTCGTCCTTGGTGCCACCAACAGAATTCACGACATCGACGAGGCTATTCTTAGGCGTATGCCTAAGAAGTTTCCCGTGTCTCTTCCCGGAAAGGAGCAGAGACGGCGAATTCTGCAACTTATCCTACAGGACACGAAGACCGACCCTGACAGCTTCAACTTGGAGTACATTGCCAAAGTTACGGCTGGCATGTCCGGCAGCGATATCAAGGAGGCGTGTCGCGATGCGGCCATGGCGCCTGTTCGTGAGTATATGAAGGAGCACCGTGCAAGCGGCAACCCAATGTCCAGCATCACGCCCGAGCACATTCGCGGAATTCGGACAGAGGATTTCTTCGGCCGAAAAGGAGGTGGCCAGATCTTGATGGAAAACCATGCGAAACAATCAGCGAAGGCGCCAGGCGCATCGGCAGATGAGTATGAAGACGTGGTTGAGGAGTTGGGCTAGGCAAACAAATCGGTCCGGAGCCGTTGTTTTATTTCTTCCATGTTCTTTTACCATGTGCACACGACTCAGAGGCATGCCGAAAATCTTCGGCGGAAATACACGCTACAGGATAAACATAAAGATGACTGCGAGCTTGGCGGTTGTCAACCCCTACTTTGGAAGGAAAGGGTCAGACGTCGACATTTTGAGGGGCGACTTGTACAAATACTCGGTGTGCGGAAAGACTGGGGCAATGGAAGGTCATGAGTTACATGACTTGATTCTTGTGCTGATAAGTTCGGGACTCGACATCACGGTCGATGAGTGATTCATGAGTGATTAACGCTGTTCAAGTCGTACCTAAGACGCCATTGTCCCGGTGTACTGGGGCAACCCAACAGGTGTTCGACTTCTCAGACAGCAGGCTGGACCGGACGGGAGCAGCTTCTTCGGCCCTGGCATCGGCGCCGCGGAAGATACCGTGCTCTCACGCAGCCAGCTAACCACCAATGTAAAGACGCGCATTGGCCACTCCGCATCTTAATGTCGCCCCGCTATCGCCGACATTCGGGGGACGTTGAGCACACCGACAAATCACGTCATTCGTGGGGCTCCATAATATCAAAGACGGGGCCTGTACTGCGCTGCGGAACGCTGGAGTCATACCTAATTGCGCTGTGCCCAGGTCCCCTTTTGTAAAACTTCTCCTACACACATCGCCAATCGTCGACTCACCCTCTCTCCAGCAATCACCTGTTTTACTCGAGTACGCCGGTGCTGCGTAGGACAATTGATTTGCTGAGCAATTCAGTCTGTCCGCGGCGAGAAGTCTGGCTCATTACGAGACCAGCGGTAGAGTACTCGATTTCCCGGCCCTCCGGACCTTCGGTCTCATCACTAGTTACGCCCTCCTCCGTCCGATTGAAGGGTCAATCGCTGCTGTACACAGGCACCGATCCGTCAGCACTCGTCTGTTCCATCAGTCTCACTATCGGAAGCTGACACAAATTCCGAAGCCGACCTGTTGTTTGATAGATCAGTCGGCTTCCCCTCTGCCTGCACCATTACCCCGCCATCGCCACCAGTAAACTGTCTCACCATGGCCACACCGCCGAACAACGGACCTGTCGAAAAGTCC